CTGAAAGTCATGATTGCGAACCAACAGCAATGGCGATCATGCTATCACTTATTATCGGTCCAGAATGCTTGAACTAGTATGTACGCACAGTTGGGCTGTGTACTCTGTGTATTGACCATAGAGGTTCGCTTTCTATTCCCGTCCCTAATAATAGGCCCAATCTCTATCCTCCTTACACATTCTCACTTATATTGTATGCATTGAGTTTGGCAGCGATCAGTGAAGTTCGCTTCACTGTATTACGCTGTACAATGATGATGATGATGATGACGATGATTAATTCGACCGGCAGTGAGCATAACGTAACGACTTGTAACGAGACGGGAACTTAACAAAAGCCTACGCAGTGATCGCAAAACTTGGTGGTCTCACCGTCCATTAGAGATGAAACGTGCTGCCACCATGGGAAATTCTCGTTAGCTGTTCCATCTCATTTGAGTCACCGGTAGGAAAGATTTAGGTCAGCGAAACGATCTATCAAGCTAACAGCNTATAATGAACACAGCAAGTAGAGATGCATCATTACAGGGTGATAGGTGTACTCTGTGTGTTGATCACAGAAGTTCGCTTTCTTTTCCTGTCTCTAAAAGTAAGTCCGATCCCTATCCTCCTTACACATTCTCACTTGCCTTGTATGCATTGAGTTTGGCAGCGATCAGTGAAGTTCGCTTCACTGTATTACGCTGTACAATATTGACGATGATGAGGATAGGTGGTTACATGTATAGTATTTAAAATTCTCTACCACCTCACATTTCTCCTGAGCTTGACAACTGATCCTTTCAAGTACAATCTGGATGAAACATTGTCATGTCTTAAGTTTCAACACCGGTAGCAATATACGAAACAATGCAAAAGTGTGACATTCCTCATCTTTCTATGATCGGTAAATCGATCAATTTGTGCGAAAAACCCTAGAGGACAAGAAAAGCAACAGCTTGTAAGCATTACAAATATATTTGACCTTAACTTTGGTTTTGAAACGATCATAATCGGTCGGAGCACCTGTGACCGAGGATGAGTCTAAGGGCGCCTGTATTTAGGTTTAACATGATTTGGAATGTATAAATAAATGCCGTTTGAGATTAAAACTTATCATCCAAATTCCACATCCGTAGCTGCAATCACGAGATAGCATTCGATTACATCATCGTAGGCCAAAAAGCGCACTTTTAGACCAAACGAAGCAAACAAAGCACAATAAATACACACCAAAAATTCATTTCCTCTTCACTTTAGAGAATACTGTCATCCTGTCACAAAAATCTAGCTGTAAGATTCTTTTTTCACTAAGCCTATGATGTCCATCGCTGATGGAGTTGGTAAATGGCTGACCGAATCTCATTTTTGACCTTACAGAACGAATGCATAAATCTGGCAACGAACAGTGTCTCAAATGGCTTCTGTTGATGAAACCCTACCCACTGCCTTCTCATGGAGGAGGTGTTTTTTCAACACCGGGTCGGTGAACCACTGGCAGCTCACCTAGAGGATTTGGCTAAAAACCTTGATTCCAAACCAAACAAGAAGAGGCATATAAACCACAAACACCCACGCCTTCCAGGTTGTGGCAGTGATCAGCGGCTTGATTGGGCATCGAACTGTATTGGACATCTTGGACGTTTGACCCCGTACGAAGGGTATATGATCCGATGAACTGGACACCGGACCCTGATGGTTTGCGGTTTTCGCACACAGCCCCGCTGTCTTGCGAATCAGGCTTTGGTTAACTCAAGGTTCCGGTTGTGATTTCCCTCATAAAGTTGGCCTCTTTTGGGTTGAACAACCAAGCGGTATTACGCTCACTAGCAAATCAAGAAACTGTTTCTTTGTTTCAAAGGTCATTGTATCGCGATTTATTTAGCACACAATTTGGATCAAGAAGCGTGACAAATATAAGTAAATTCTGGAGCGCTAGAAAAAAAGACTGTAAGCACTCTTCCTAATACAACTGATTTCGAATCCGTAAGCTAGATGGGACGTGGGTAGGTAGCTCCTTCGAGAATTACAGAGTAAGGTGGTTGTACAAACACCTATTCGTTTCATCGCTTTATTTTTCTCTCTCAACAGTCTATGATGAACCAACCCTTCGTCATCATAGAAACGTTCTGTCAGTTATCTGTCTGTCGATAGGCGAGGTTCCCCTTCAGATGTATACCTGGTACATACCAACAATGGACCAAGTGTTTCAAAAACCAAAATGAGAATGCGAACTCACTTGAGCACAGTGAAGAATATCTTGCAACGAAAGATAGGATAAAACACGAAAGACAAGCTCAGCCGGTAACAAGGCGAAAAAATCTCTCTTCAATTTCGGTTTGATTGCTTCGTGTAGATGAACCAGTTCCAAATGCGAGCACTGATCAATCATGGCAGTCAGTGCCATGAATCGGTTCGATGAACAATGAGTGGGATGCGGTACGGGTGTACATTGTTCCGCATTGTCTGAATCCGTTTGGAGTGTATCCGTAGTGAGGCCAGTGTTTGATTCGGCGACCGAATCACACTGTGGTTTTTTAGGCTACACAATGAGAGGAGCACAAGTGTGGAGAATCTTACCTGTGAGAGAATTCTGAACACGAGTGAAAAATAAGTGGGACAGTGAAAGGAAAACACTTACAGGTTTTCACAGCAGTCTGGCAGTTTTTCGCGGAGTTCATCAAAACATTCTTCGTGCAATCGCTTCATCGGTAAAAATTACCATCCCCATAAACCGCAATAAGGCGAGTCTAAAGCGAGAAAAAAATCGATAACATAGTCAATGCGGATGAAGTTCAATAAAGATAGCGAATAAAATCAAGCCAATGTATACAGCAAGGAGAAGTTAGAAAACCATGGTAAGGATTGTGTGTATTGCCGAAGTGAACCCTGGAACCTTCCATGAAAGAACTGATTCGAAACCATAGGGTGAAGGATACTCGCTGTTTTTGAGGTGTGCAGGTTCTAAGAGCACAATGGTTGAACCTCGCCACAACCATCCAACTTCGGCGGTAGACATCTTTCCCACAGTGATATGATTGTGTGATTGAGTTTCATTCATCTTGTTTGTGTCGAAACTGGTGTCATTGCATTTAAACCGTAAAAAATGAAACAAAGGTGATAATTCTCTTCAATAAATATACCATCCTATTGCAATGACCTAGGCACATTACGATTCCGTTTAAGTGAACATCGTGTTTATGTCTCATTGGAGCTTTTGGTTCATAGTGTTCGTAAATTCCTCTCTTGTAATCCATCCTCAGTCCTCAGTCCTCAGTCCATCCTCTCCATGGAGAACCTCCTGTCTGTCGACGGTTCCAGTCCGCACCTAGACTCGGCCCACATGCGGTTGTCGGGTGCATCTGTTTACGGGAGATATTCTGCCGCACACACTACTACCAACTGAACAACATTTTTAGCTCACTGTTTATTTCACATTCAACCATAATCATCAAACTCGGATGGCGATTCAACCCATAGTCTGCTGTTTTGTTACCTTTTCTATCCCACTAGTGATGGTGGCGCAGTGATTTAGTCGCTGACACCGGCGTGCCTTGGGCCCTACGGTGTGAGGTTCGAGCCCCGCCACCACCACCCAACTTTGGTGGTAGGCAGCTGTGCTATCGTCCGATTCAATATCACACCTAACTTATCGGGGACTGATGTGGTTCGCCACTCTAAGTCCGAGGGCTTAGGTCACCGGTCTCCATGACTGAACAGCAGGTCCTCGTGAGTATGGGGGTCTCCCCGTCTGTTGTTCATCACACGAAAGTGTGTGATAAAAAACTTACGATCTCAAGTCTGTGTCTGGGTGTTGCACTGCAGTGTAACACATAAACGGATTCCGACTTCAATCACCACTAATCATTACGCCTTCCCAAACACATGCGTGTGTGCCTTACATCGTCCGAATGCAAGTGTCTGCACAAAACTGGCAGGGGGCTAAACTTGCACTTACCCTATATGGTGATCACCTAGAAGTAGTTGACAGCTTTAAGTACCGCGGGAGTTTGATCACAGCTGGAGTAGGGAAGGAGACTGATTCACGACAAGTAAAACTCGGAGCAATTTTTGCCAAACTGCGACACATGCGGCGCCGGCATGATATCCTACTTTAATTCAAAGGAAGGGTGAACAGTACCGCGGTTTGTAGTGCTATTTTACGGTCCTATCCACGCTGAGGATGATAAGTTACTTTCTGCATTCGGTCATCGATGTCTTCGAGGCATTGCACACGTCAGGTGAAACGTTGAACGAGAATTGACGAAGTTTTTTATTATACACACTACTGTGAGCTGAAAAACAGACGGGGTGGACCCCATAGTCATGAAGACCTGCTCTATTCAGTGATGGTAACCGACAACATAAGTCTCGGGACTTGGATTGGTGAACCACAAGGGCCCGCTAGGTTAAGCGTGGCATTCAACCGGACGACAGCAAAGCTGCCTACCACCAAAGTTGGGTGACGGTGGTGGGGATTGAACCTCGTATCACAGGGTTCACAACCCACCAGTGACAGCGACTAAACCAATGCGCTACCACCATCCTATGTTGGGTGCCGATTACCGTTCTCAAAAAGGAGTAATCGCTCTACACCACCGACGGCTCAGTCACGTTCTTCGTATGCTGGCTTGTCGCCTCGCTCTCCGCACTCTCTTTGCATGTGCTGGGTAGGGCTGAAAGAAGAGTCACGGTGGTAAAATTAAGACCTGGTGTATGGATATAAATTTAGTTTGGAATAAGGCTTCGGTTGGTGCAGCCCAACTTGGATGGATGGCAATGCATTTCGCGGGAATTAGCAATGGAGGAATATTTTGTGATCACCGTTTAAAGGGTAAGACGGCGTACCAGTGCGGTTTGGTGCTGGAACTATTTTTACTGTAACCAAAGACCACCTCATCCACATATTTAAAAGCGGGTGCGAAGGGCTATGTACGATGTTTCGGGGGAAAAGTTGAGTAAAAAGGGGGTAAGGAGGGCCTTTTGGAGTACAGTGTACTTGACGGGTGAACTGCTCACGACAACTTAGTTGTTTCTCATTGTAGTGAAGTATCGTTGTTGTTGTTTTGAATGGCTCATTACGTTACCTTTACTAATTCTATTTTCCATTTTTCAGCTAGCAGCTCGTTATTGAGAAGAACAAACCCTGTAAACAGGCCTCTAACGTTCTCTACTTTGGTTAGCTGAATGTTCGAAACTTCCCAACACGACGAGGCTGCACCTTAACGTGTTTTTATTACACAATGTGAATTACAGTGAAAGGGGAAATCTCCATGGACAAATAGTATACCGTAAAAGGGAAACATTCACGTGGGATCCAGTTTATTGATTCTGTATTTAAAGAGTGCAAGGTTGTAAGTTGGGGAAAAACAGAAAGTGGGAGGGTGCTCTACAAATTGGCAGTTCGGAGGAAGAAAGAACACTGGAACAGATAAGTACGACATCTGGGAACTGAAATCTGATAAGAATGACTAGATACCTGTGTACGGGATGGGCGGGTAAAAGTTGCGGGAAGAGGAACTGCCGAGGCAAGTTCCGAAGAACGAAAACCAAAGTAGTTACGGTAGAGAACGGACAATGAAGCAACTGTCCGACGATGGGCTAGTGACCGCACACTGGATGTTGTGCAAATGGAACTGAACTGGACTGGATGTTCATCGTCATCATTGTACAGCGTAATACAGTGAAGCGAACTTCACTGATCGCTGCCAANCTGCCAAACTCATATTGCATACAAGGCAAGTGAGAATGTGTAAGGAGGATAAGGAACGGACTTACTTTTAGGGACGGGAAAAGAAGAGTACACAGTCCAACTATGCATACATACAAGTTCAAGCATTCTGGTCTGATAAGAAGTGACAGTAGGAGCCTTGGAGATGCGAGCGGTTATCTCCTTTGATGCGCTACCCTCGTTGGTCACGCAGTTACCCAAGTACGAGAAGCAGTAAACTTCAGCTAATTCCTGACCGTCTAGTTTCCGAACAGAACNCGACACCCAGTCTTGTAGCATCACTTTGCACTTTGAAGGTACAAAGCACATACCGAACGGAGCGACAGAACTTGATAATTTGCCATGTGCTCTTTGTGCATTAGCCATACATTCGAACAAGCCAACGGTGTCGTCAGTGTACGCTAAATTGCACAGCTTTTCTTCAGCTTCACATTCAGTACCTACATTTTGGAGGCCACTGAGTGCGTTCTCCAGTATTTCGTCTATGACGAAATTGATTAGGAATGGCGAAAGAGGGTACCCTTGACGAACACCGCTGTTAGTTACGAACGACCTACTCAACTCGTGTCAAGGTATGCGACTAGGGTCAACTCAGTATTTTGTTCTACTTCTTTTGGACCCAAACCGAAAAGAAGAGACACTTACTCCACCTAATCGCCCTGTGAATTTCTTCATTTTAGAGAAGGATCATCGATTAGCCGGATGGCCCTTCGTTGAACACGATCAAGCAGAGAAAGAGAAGAAGACGAAGCCCCACCCCAAACGTGACCACAGTATTCAAGAGCAGGGCGGATTTGAGTTGTGTACAGTAGAACAAGATGAGCTACAGTGGAAAAACGTCTGGCGCGAAGTAAAAAAAACAACTTTACGCGCAGCTGGAGAAGCAAGCTTAGCTATAAAAAGAGGCCAGCATAAAGAACTTATAGACCATCTAAAAAGGGAAATAGAGTCTGTGGAACGCAGTTGAGTGGAATCAAAAGATAACTGGGGGGCGGGTGAATGGTGTTTTAAAGAAATCGAAAGAAAAGAGGTTGTGGAACTATTGAATGAAACGT